AAATTACTTGTATAGTCAGTCTTAGGTTGTGTGTAAAGTTTAACTATAGCAGAGATGCCCAAAGTAGGGCCTGTGGACCAAAGTTGATGGCTGTTTGATTTGGCCCGCCATCCAATCTGAGAAGAGATTTACAATGAATGGAAGGTTGGGGCGAATGCTTTTAACACAGATCATCATTTCTAATTTAACGTAACATTTTGTTTGTTTGTTCGTTCGTTAAATTGTTGAGCCACAAAAAAGCCAACTTAAATTACATGTTTCAATAAATGTTGTGCATGAATCAGATACTCAAAAATGTAAATACTGTAACATGAAGATAGAGGACAATGCACAAGGTGGTGCAGCTCGACTCGTGTATTCAGCATTAAACACCATTGTGTTGTAAATGGTTTTGTAAATGTTTGTTTTTATTGTAAAACGGCCATTAGAAAATGAAAAAAAGTATAATTATTAATAGGTTTAAAGTATTTTTCTATTTATTTTTTAAATAGATTACGTTTTTTTTAATACATCAGGAAAGCTTTGCATTATATTGTTAATGGTATATTTAGCTTCGGCCCATCACCCTCAATCAAGTTTGGTTTTTAGCCCTTCATAAGCAAAAGTTTACAGTATATGAATAGTTTGATCGCTGCTTGGGTTTGTTAGTTATAAAAAGGTTTAAAAGTTGCTCTTACCTCTAGTGTTGCAAATAGATTTATGTTTATTTTATTGAATTACAAAAAATCCCTACGATATTATTGAACAGTACTTTATGTATAACGTGCATAATATGTTAGAAGTAATACTATTTTTTTTTAAAGACCATTTAAACATTTATTTGTGCCTCTATTTTGTAATATTCATATGGGTATGTTTTAATAAATAACCTGCATATTAAATATTTATCACAAGCGGCAACACTAAAGCTACAAAAAATACAAATTCATTCAAATAAAAAAGCTGACACAAAGCATGTAACGATTCGAGCCACATGGCTCTTCATTAGACAGTGTGTGACGTGTGGCTCAAAATGTTAAACGCTTATTGTCAGATTTTTAAATTTAATAAATTTGTATTTTTTGAGCTTTGGGGTTGCCGCTTTTGATAAATATTTAATATGCTTTTGCGAAATAATATATTTGCATGCTTTTGTACAATATTTCATTTTTTATTTATAAATATCCTGTTCAGACTGACCTGAATGAAAACAGTTTCTGCATCCTCATCAGTTTCCGCCAGTCCGAGAACTGCAGTAAAAGTGACCTTGAATCCTGCATCTAACCCGACTTCAACCGCAACTCCTTGTTGTTTCTCTGCTACGATGAAAGCTGACAGATGTTTGGCATATGATTTCAGCTGTGTATGTCTAAAGTGATGCAGAGGGGTCACGTATGACAGCTTCCACTCATTTTTTACCAAAAGAGCGATATGCTCTGGGTCAACCTTATTCTGTAGAAAGAGTAAAGACGTTAGTTATTCAATGCATTCTATGTCAGTAACAGAATTTTCAGACTGACTGAATGAGATGTTTCCATCTTAATCTCTTACAGTGATGATTTGTGATTTGGCAGCTCCTCTACTGGTTGGGACCTTCAGGACTGTTAAATGTCCAGGTGTTTGCCAGAAATACGATGGTGCTTCCACACAGCTCCGACCATAACTTTTGCTTTTACGAGTAACAGGTCTGCTGGCAGGAGTATTGACGGCACTGTTTGGGTAATAAAAGCCACAAAGGATGTTAATAATGCTGTGTTTACTGCTAATGGGACCTACATAACAAGTGTTCATTTCTAAATATGTTATACGTCACAAATGTATGGTTAAAATGAAGGTTTATTGAATTAAGATAAATGTAAGTAAAGGAATGAATCTTTCGAGGAGAACACAATACATTAATATTTATTACTTGCTATATTTTACCTGTTGCATTTATAGTGTTCGCTAATGCAAGTTAATAGGGATTACACAATAAGTTTTACTGCATTAGCAACGCACACACAAAAATGTTTTTAATTCTTTAAAGGTTAATATTTCTTAAGCTCTAAAAAAAATATAAATAGGTTATGTATGTATGCATTTTATTATAATTTATTCTCTAGTTTGCCCATCAAAAATAATACCGCAAATTAGGGCTGCACAATATATCACTTCAGCATCGAAATCGTAACATGTGCATTTATAACAGTCACATCGCACCATTTGCAATGTGCAGTTGAGATTATTATTGTTGATCAGCAATGAAGAATGTAGTGTTTATATTTTACATTACATTTGATTATTCATTAGGGGCAGGACAAAATAGCGATGTGCATGAATCGAACATATATTAATGTTGCAATTCTAAGAAATATATGTGCTGTTAGTAAAAGAAATACATCTAACTACATATAACGTTTTGATGATTTTTTTCTCTCTCTTTGTTTACAAATATTTAATAGTATATTGTGGATGATTTTCTTGTGATATTTCACTGATATCATGATCTATCATTATCAGGGGCAAAAGATCATGATAATATTGTATCGTATTACTGTACCTGAATATCTGACTACTTCGCTTTTATCTGTGCTCCACCTTATTTATCCACCAATTTCTTTGATTCACTCCACTACAAGATCAATCTAAGTAAATAATTTTATTCCAAATAGAGCTATTCAAGTCATATGCTGAAATTGTTTTATATCGCAGCAAAATAAAATATCGCAATGTCAGATTTTTCTAATATCGTGCAGAACTACCTCAAATTAACATTTCTAAATTAAGATTCTTTTACTTTCCTTGAAAACGCTTAATATGAACTTTATGATCGCTCATTACAAACAGAAAAAAAATCTTTCTGCACTGAGATTTATTTTGAAAATAAACTCTCAATTGACAGACACCTAGTAAAACTGAGGTAAAGTTGGTTTTAATATTCGCGTAATTGTTCAGTGACAACTTGTGACACACTCTTTATATAGTTTACTATGGTACTATGAATACTAGTTCTGAAATCACATGTAAATATGACTTCAAAACAACATTAGCACTATTTATTTGACTGTGAACGATGTTGAATTTTAATTGAGGTAAAGTTGGTTTTAAATTTGCGAATTCATTCAGTGACAACTTGTGACATTCTCCCTATATTGTATACCATGGTACTTTGAATATTCTGCCTCTAATCACATGTAAATATGACTTTACAACAACATTAGCACTATTCATTTGACTTAACGATGTTGTATGTTGATGGTCATTGGCTGCAAATATGATTTCACTATTTAGAATTTGCAAAAAATACTTTGATAAAATTATATTATTAAAGAGAAAGACTGAATGTGCAAATATAAAACCAACTTGACCTCAATTTCATTTCAATAGTCATTTGCTGCGAATATGATTTCACTATTTAGTATTAGCAAATATTATTTTTCTGAAATTATATTATAAAGAAGAATGTACGAATATAAAACCAACTTAACCCCAATCTAGTTAAAGCATTTTATTCAACCCTTTGAGCACTACATAGGTCTAAAGTGACCCGTCTTAAGTTTTTTTTTTTCTTTATCTATTTTATAACTTGTGCATCAAAGGGTTCAGAGAGCTTTGCACTGTATTCTGAAAACAAAAACAGAGGAACACATTGATTTGTTTTAGCAGTCAAAGCAACATTTTAATAAAGTTAAACATTTATGGTGTTATTGAAGACCTTTTAATGGCTTTAAATAGTGAAAGGGCTAATTAAGAATGCGGAAAGTATGCAGAAAGGTCTTTTCAAATTTAATGTAACCTTTTTTGGGTTATTTTACTGTTAAGCTACAAAAAGCAGAAATTAAATGTTTCAAATTGAATGGTGTAAATTAATCAGATAGGTGGTTTAAAATGTACATATGACAAATGGAGGAAAATGAAGAGACTTTGGTGAACGAATCAAGGAAAACAGTTTCTGCTTGACTAGTGTATTCAGCATTAAACTCTACTGTGTTTTAAATTTAATTGTTTATGCTTTATTGCAATAAGTTATAATTACAAAAAGGTTATACTGCACTACTAAACTGTTATACTGTTTTCTATTTATTTTTTTAATATTATGAGATGAATTAAGAAATGACACATGGCAACTATAATGTAAAATATTTTGGTATAATTCGGTATATTCATCTTTGACCCGCGGCAATCAATGATGTGCGGTTTTTGGCCCTTCATACGAAAAGGTTTGGCTAGCCGTTTTAATTAAACACAACCTGACCAAAAAAACAAAACAAAAGACAGCGTTCAGAAAACTGCTAACGTTACTATTAGCAGCTTTCCGCTAAACCACGACATGATCCGTTTCCGAATTAACGCTCAAACGTGTTGTGTTTCAAATGAACTATTCTACCGTACAAAAAAAATGTCTAATGATGATTTTACAACATAAAAAACTCTTTCGTACCTGCCTCTCCCCTCCATGACGATCAACAACACACCGAGCGAAAAAGCAGGAAGAAGATTTGAACATCCCGCTTTCCCATCATGCAACGCAGTAAGGCAGGAATACTAACAGATTACTAAGAGCAAGGGCAAACGCGTGTTACTTGTTTTTATTTTCGTCAACTCTGCATAATACGAGTTAAGTTAAACAAAGGTTTTAAACAATGTTAAACTGTGGTACACAGATGTAACAAAGTTGATAAATGCTATGTTACAAAAGATTAAATCGATTAGTTCTTGCGTGATTAGTCATCCCTAAGCACTCCATGCGCCGCACTAAGAAACACGGAACCAGCCTCACGATTGTCAGATTCAGAATGTCAGTGACAATTCAGCCGGAATAACATTGAATTTAATTCATTTCTTTTTAATACGCCACGTGAAACTAACAGAGATTCCCGTATGTTGTAGATGATTGCATGATTAAGGAAAGGGAGGAAAAGGGTGACTGTCAGTTTTACGTTAAATACCAATAATGTACATGGAGTTGTACATTTATAAGTTACTCGCATACACAAAGAAGACGTGCACAAAAAGATGTACAGTGTGAAGTGAAATACCGATTCAAAATATAAGTTTTCGTTTGATAAAGACAATAAATGCAGATAACAATGGCAAACAAATGCAGATTGTTTTTTGTTAGGTCAGCCCAGCAGATGTTGAGATGTGTGTATAGCAGAAGGTCAGTACCTTCCATTAATCATATTTATTCCTCAAGACCGTTAATATCTCCAAACTTGTTAGAATGTGCTTATAGCATCTCCAGAAGCATTTCTACACACACTTCAGGTAATGTGACCTTCACTGAACAAGTCTGTGTATGTGTCAATTCTATGTTTTTGGGGTTTAATTGTAATATTTTTTTTTTAATATGTGCCTTGTAGGTCAAAGCAGCTTTTCACAGAGAAGCCATACATGTGGAGAATTGTGCTCCAGTCATATAGACAAGGAGGTGACTTTATGTGGCTGGGTTCAGTACTTAAGGTTGGAGAAATAATGTTTATTTGCCAAATTCACCAAGACACATCCAGGGTTTCTGCAGGGTGTTAAAAAGTCTTAAAATATCTGAAATCTCAAAATCCAAATTTTAGGCCTTAAACATTTAAATTTACTGAAATATTGTGTTGTTGGTCTTAAATCTTTTTAAAACAAGTCTTATTTTTTCTTTGTTCATGTTCTACTACTCAATCTGGCCAAAACCCATACATATTTAAATAGTAGTTTTTTAACTCTATTTATCATAGTGGTTTAATTATTTTCCTTACAATAACTTTTGTTTAAAAGTTCTCCTTGTATTTACTGCTGAGGACACTGATCTGGACAGATTGTTGTGCATACATTTAGTTTATTATTATAGTGTTTAAATTTTTTTAAACATTTGTTCATTTTTTTATTTTGAAGAAAGTTCATATTAAAAAAGTGTCTGGATACAAGTAGAGCTAGCTTGTTTTTACACAAATTTTTTTTTTAAATATTTTGCTAAGGTATTATTATTATTATTGTTGTTGTTGTTGTATTATTAAATGTATTACATTATATTTTTTTTATAGGGAAAAAAAATCTTTTCCATCTTTATGAGTAAAATATCATTAATACTGGTCTTAAATGTGTCCTAAAAATGTCCTAAAAAGTCTTACATTTAACTCTGTGAAACCTGCAGAAACTCTGCCATCACTACATCTATATGACTTCTTTTTTTCTTTCTTTTTTTCACTCTTTAGGCAAGATCTGTTTGTAATACTAAGAGACTTCAGTGGATTGGTGCAAATTCTTATTCCACAAGATGAGGTAGCAACACTATGGAAAGCAATTTACACTGTGAAATAAATCAGTAAATAAAATGGGTAATTGAAAATGGGTAAAATGGGTAATTTTTATTTCACAATTATGATTTTTTTTTCTATCTCTCCATTTAGAAAAAAAGTCATAATTGTGAGTAATAAACTTAAAAAATAAAGATATATCATTTTTATTTTGACCTTGGATTTCTGAGGTTATGCCTTCCAATTCAGAGTTTATATACTGCTATACAAAGTCAGAATCGCTATTGTCTTCTTTCAGTTGTGAGTTTATAGGCTTACTTGCATTTCTGACTTTATCTCTCACAATTCTGAATACTTAAAAAAATGGACATTTATTCAATCAGCATTGTGAGATATTATTTTTAATAAACTTACAAATTGCAAACAAAGGTAATTTAATATGATAAGATTTTTAAAAAATGCAGTTCTGAGTTAGAAAGTCTGTAATGTGAAATGTAAACCTTCAATTAAAACGTATGTTTCAAACCGTGGGTGAAACAAGTTTCCATTCAATATAGTTTTGTTTTTTATTTTGTGTGTGAAAAACAAACAAAAAAAAGTTTAAATGCTGACAATATTTTGGTTTGCTTACTGGAGTAACATGTTTTTTTTATTGTAATATTATGCAAAAAAATAACATTTTCCTTGATGCTTAATCCTTTAGAGTAAATCTGAACTGAAGAAATCTTTGCTTGCTCTCACCGTGGAGTCTGTCATTATGGTCAAAGGACGAGTCATCCGTAGACCAGAGGGACAGGAGAATAAGGTTGATATGCACGTTTATATGTATATAAAGAGAAAAGTCTTGTAGCCTTATGTTTTATGTAAAATACATGTAAAAGTGTTATTTTTTTCTTTATTAGAACATATCCACTGGAGAAATTGAAGTCTGTGCTGAGAGCATTGAAGTGTTGAATACCTCCCGAAAGCTGCCGTTTGAGATCAAGGAATTTGTTAAAGTGAGTTTCCAATTTATTTATTTATTTATTTTACAAAAAGTGTTGCATGAGTTTTGAAAAAAAAAAGCATATCACGCCAGGGTAATATTTAAATATTTAAAATCAATAGAAACAACAATTTGTTTACAAGTTTTACATTTATTTAATCAAAGCACAGTTAAACTACAAATATTGAAAAATACAGTTACAACATAACTTGAAATAACTGTTTTCAACTTAAACACAATTTTGAAATAATGTGGCAAATCATTGTAATATGCTGATTTGTTGTAGTAGTAATAAAACAATTTATTAAATGCATGAACCAACTTTCGGATTCGATGGATGGATGGATGGATGCATACATAGGTTGATAAATGGCCTAAAATATTCTTCAGCTTCAGAATCTTTTTATTCTGGGGTGAAATTTGACATTTGATAGTTTGTGATTGTCATTTGCTGTGGAGGAACTAAAATTGGATTCCAGATAGATGCATTTTTTTAATCCTCTGCTTATAGTGCTTGTGTCTATCAGTAACATGTTTAATCTTATTTTTTGCTCATGTTTGCCTTGAAGAAATCAGAAGCCCTCCGGATGCAGTACCGTTATCTGGATCTGCGGTCGGCCACAATGCAGAACAATTTAAGATTGAGGTCACAAATGGTGATGAAAATGAGAGAGTACCTTTGTAATTTGCATGGTGAGGATTTACAGTGCCCTTTAATACATCTGCTTGGGTAATCTATTCATATACTCACTGATTTTTTTCTTGTCTTTTCCCAAGGATTTGTCGATGTGGAAACACCAACGCTGTTTAAAAGAACACCTGGGGTAGGTATTTTGTACATTATCATTATTTGAGTCAAAGCATAAGACCAATTGTATTTTCAGATATACAGTTTTGTGTTTCATATGCAGTTCTACTTTGCATGTTGTTTCAATATGGAATTATTCAGACAAATGTACTTAGAAGTTGTGCATGCAATAGCACAAATAGCAGCGAGCAGGGAAGCCTGTCACAGGATTTTCATTTCTACATACATCTAAGTTACTTGTTAATACATTAGGTAAGGAGCGGATGCTGATTGTGGATGTTTAGTTTAGTTAGTCGGAATAATGTATATAGGGCACAGTATAGTGCTGAGAATTTCATTTCACATTTTTTTTGTAGTTATCGATTGGGACTGGAGTTTAGTCCGAGTGGGAGTTTTTTTTTTGTTTTTTTTCTATGATTTATCTCCACTTATGTTCTGCTCCCTGGTTTGGTATTTTTTTCTTTTTTTATATCCCTTGTCAATTTTTGTCCTCATTGTAAGTAAATTTATATTCTTTATTGTAACTTTCTTTTTCCTCATAATTATTTTGTCCTTTGCTACTGACAACATCTATCACAGTTAGTAAATATTAACCTGGAATTTGAATTCCTTTGTGTTGCATCTGCCATACCCCTATAACATCTATGGAGGCGTAACACATACTTATTCCGAATGGATTCAGGAATTAAATATGGAATCATGACAACAAAGACTGTTATTTATTTTTTAAAAGAAATCTCCACTTGTTTGAAAATAGGCTAAACAGTTGAACAGTTTTTTCTCCAAGTCTGGCTGTAGCGCATTTAGCATAGCTTAGCATAGATCATTAAATCAGATTAGACCAGTAGACCAGCAGAAAATTTTAATTATTCTCTTTTAAAGCTTGACACTTCTGTACTTACATTGTGTATTAAGACTGACTGCCAATTAAGGCAGTTTGAATTTATTTTATTTAACAGGGACAATGCTCATTAATAAACAGTAGAACTGTAAATAATCCAGAGTTTGGCCCAAGGGCTAATTTTCATCTGTTGCCCCCTGCCAGACTTTAAAAGGCAGCAAGAAATGACTGGCTCTGACTGAGAAGACTGATTGTGCAGTGAAGTTCACTCATGACTCAAGCTTTAAAAAGTTAAATCATCAAAACTCTTTGGTCAGTTTTGAGTAACGGAAAATGAAAAGCTTCCATTTTCTAGGCCGAAATTGCTGGCACATTGATATTACACAGATTCTAACAGGTGTTGCAAGAGTAGAGCTTGATGCTGGTGATTTTTTCAGGCACTGTGTGATATCACTGTCTGCTGTAGCCAGGGTACAACAACAAAGTTCCTAGATCTTACGCTGGATAAAGAGTATAGTTCCTAGCCATATCAACATAGAAATTAGCAACTTCTACATTTTCTCTCAGGCTTAGTATGCAATGTAACTGCCTTAATGTAACTATTGAAAGGTAAAGCTTTAAATAACAAAATGATCTCTGGTTATTTTTGTGTGAGGTGTTAATGGTCTAATCCGATTCAGTGATCTATGCTAAGCTAAGATAAAAGCTGCCCCTCCAGACCTGGAGATAAATGGATTCAATAATGGTAAAACTTAACTGCTTAACTCTAAAGCCTGGTTTATACTTCTGTGTCAAGTGACCGGCGTAACCCACGGCGTATGCAACGCGCGTAGCTGTGCATTTATACTTCTGTGCGCTGTCTCTGTTGGTCTGCATTAACACTTTCGAAACGCTAAATGGCAGTAAGGTGTAAATGTTCCTCTGTGTCGAGTTTCTTCGCTGCTGTTTTGCTTTTCTGAACTCTTCCGGGATGTACAAGTGGCTCAAACTCGCTCATTTTGAGGCAGGAACCGGCGGACGTGCAACAACTTTAACTATGAGGTGAACACAAAACAAAACTTTCCATCCGGAGCTCCTTCACAGGACTCCACACTTGTAAACAATCGCTCCATCAGGCTCGCACCATTCACATGGCTCTCGGTCCCGCCCAGACTCATCAGTGCTACCAAGCCGACCAATCACAGAGCTTGCACTACGCGTCGTTGTGACGTGTAGTTACATTTTTTGAGAGGTGCACGTCAGTTTGACCCAGAAGTATAAATCAGCCTTAAGGGAGTTGTAAAATTAGCCTGTTTTTAAAAAAGTGAAGTGTTCTTTTAACATGAATAAACCTTAAAACTCAGAATCAATCACAAAATAAATAAGTATTCAAAACCAAATCTAAAGTATGTGTGAGAGGGCTTTGTGAAGAATGTAAATAGTCATCTTAAGCACAAAATCATTATATAATTGTAAAAACACCACGTTAATGAGATCTTGTTTTAAACTTCACAATACTTGCCTTGTTTGGCAATTCATGCTCCTGTTTTTTTTTTTTTTTTTTTGTCTCCTGCAAGACAGACATGTAAGCCTTGCCCAAACATCAACAAATTACAGCTGCTGCTAAATATTGCCAGATCGTTACCTAAAACTTTGTGAGCGATTTCCTCCCTCTGGCTTTGTTGTTTTTAGAAACTTTTGCATCTGTTTGCAGTGAAGTGAATGGACTTTAAAACTTTTACAGCTTTGATACATATGTATGAATGTCTAAGTAGTACTCCTTTTTTGTAACCCTTTTTGTAACCCTGCTGTTCCTGGACACTTCAGTTTGTGGAATTAGTTAATCATGACTTGAGTGGGAGTAGTGAATTTATACAATGGCATCTGTGATAAAAAGCAATTGTGTGTATTTTAGGTTGACGCATAAATGGCACACTTCAAAATTTCAACATTGAGCTATGCATAATTAAATGATTTAAACATGAGTATTCCTGCAGCTTTATGTGATAAATAAACATATGATACCAGTAGGAGTTTGTTGTTCATTTAGAGTTAGACTTTTTTATGATATGAAAATGACAATTGGCCAGATTTTGTTGTGATTAAAAAAGGTTTATTTCACTAAGGTTTATTATTATTTTTTGCACAATTAATGAATTGATATAATAGACCAACACTGAAAATTAAAACTATATAAAATATTTGCTAAACATATGCTAAAGTGTACTTGATTATCATGATTTAAATAATAGTTTTGTGAGTGCAAGATGATGAAAAATCAACTTGCACGATTAAATATTCATCATCGAGCAACAGACATGAATTGATAAAAGGACCCCAATACCCAAAATGAGTTCTTCTTTTATGATTTTTTTAAACCCTTTTGAAGAACATCGCTATTAGGTTCTCAAAAAAAGGATTAAAAACATGTCTTTAGCGCTTTGAGTTAGAGAAAAGCACATTACAAATAAAATGTATTAATATTATTATTATTATTATTATAAATTTATTGTTAATAAAAAACGGGTGGCGCAGTAGGTAGTGCTTTCGCCTCACAGCAAGAAGGTCGCTGGTTCGAGTCTCGGCTGGGTCAGTTGGCGTTTCTGTGTGGAGTTTGCATGTTCTCCTTGCGTTCGCATCGGTTTCCTCTGGGTGCTCCGGTTTACCCCACAGTCCAAAGACATGCGGTACAGGTGAATTGGGTAGACTAAATTGTCCGTAGTGTATGAGTGTGAATGAGCATGTATGGATGTATCCCAGAGATGGGTTGCAGCTGGAAGGGCATATGCTGGATAAGTTGGTGGTTCATTCTGCTGTGGCGACCCCAGATTAATAAAGGGACCATGCCGAAATGAAAATGAATAAATGAATGTCAATAAAAAAGCTAAAATAAGTTATATTTCACCAGTAGTTTTCAGATTAAAATAAAAATTATATTTTTATTTAAAATGATATAAATTGTGAAATGGGAGCAGTGGAATTTTCAAGTGATCACCTAATATTTTTGTCAAGTGTTACATATTATATAATATTGGGCCACACGATATTGGAAAAATCTAACATTGGGATATTTTGTTATTCTGCAATATACATTGCAAGGGTTTTACCCTTGTGTGAATGCTTTTAAAATCCAATTTGATGATGTCAGAGGCCTTAAAAACATGAATTCTCAAAAAAATGATTTCTTCGATAATATATATATATATATATATATATATATATATATATATATATATATATATATATATATATATATATTCTCACTCAACATTGCATATCCTGCGATGTGACTATTGCGAACGATCACATTGCAATATCGATGCTGAAACAATATCTTGTGCAGCCCTAATATATATTGGGTTTTAAATATAATAGTTCCGATAAAGAACAAACAAAAAATAGTGACTTTTTATATTGTTGAAAGTTCTTTTAATCTATACCCCTGTTCTCTTTGGTCTTTCATTATGTGACTTTCATTTATCAGATTGGCTTGAGATATGCTGGCTCTTTTAGCTCTCAGTGAGAGGCAGGAATATGCAGAGTTTATTCAAGTGTGACTGTATTTCTCAGGGTGCCAAAGAGTTTGTGGTGCCATCTGGAGACCCTGGGAAGTTCTACTCTCTTCCACAGAGCCCACAGCAGTTCAAACAGCTTCTGATGGTGGCTGGCATAGACCGGTAAAATCACATTTCCTTGTCATTTTCTGTTTCCTTCGTATTCACAGATTGTTGTCAGATGCTTGGCACATTGACTAAACTTTGCTTTTACTGACTGGTAACACCTAAAAAACAGAGCTACATCCTGTTGTTCAGCATACTTTTCAAAGCTATGTTTTATTCTCAGCTTTTAGCACCTCTAAAATTTGGAGCATTTTATTTTTCATTTCCAAAGCTGTGTGAAAAGCTTTAAGTTGATGTAAATAATTAAAAGTAGAAGAATTTAACATAAGAGTTTAACCTGCACTTTTAAATATCCAAAAATAAATATCAAATATAAATAACCAATATACCAATTGTCCAATTTAATTTAATTTAATTTAATTTGATTTAATTTAATTTAATTTAATAGTTTTTCAATTAATTTATTAATTTAATAATTTTCTAATCTGGTGTTTTCACAGCGGAATGAACCGCCAACTTATCCAGCATATGTTTTACACAGCGGATGCCCATCCAGCTTTAACCTATCACTGGGAAACACCCATACATACTCATTCACACACAAACACTAAGGACAATTTAGCTTATCTAATTTACCTGTACCGCATGTCTTTAGACAATGGGAGAAACTAGTGACCTTCTTTCTGTGAGGTGACAGCACTACCTACTGCACCAATGCGTCACCCTTTGTTTTGTTTTATTTGTTTATTTTTTATTATTATTTTATTTAAAAAAAGAATGCCATTCAAACAGTTTGGCATCAGTATTTAGTGTTTTTCTAAAGAAATTAATTTACCAAGTATATATTTATTATTATTATTATTGTTGTTGTTGTTTATTATTATTATTATTGTTGTTGTTTATTTATTTATTTATTCATTCATTTATTTTATTAATTTTTTTTACAAAAATGCCCACTGAAACTTCACTGAAATTAAAATTTTCCACCAAGGAAATAGATTACATTATTATTATTATTATTATTATTATTATTATTATTATTATTATTATTATTATTATTATTAATATTATTATTATTATTATTTATTATTATAATTTTTTTATTCCATTAACCTCAGTAAGCATAGACTTTTAGGGGGTTATGTATTACTTATACTACCGATTTTAATGTTTTAAAAAAAAATTTAAGAAAATGATTATTCATTAAGGCAGCATTTATTAAATGTAAAAATAATTGTAAAATTGTTAAATATTTATTAAAAACTTTCATAACTGCTTTCTTATTGTATGTAGTTTCAAATGAAAATATTACTGCAGTCATTATTGTTTTTACTACTGTTACCATTAATAATATTAATATTCATAATTAATTCAGTCCTTCATTAACTTTCTTTTCGGCTTAGTCCCTTTATTAATCAGGGGTCGCCACAGCGGAATGAACCACCAACTAATCCAACAGTTTTACGCAGTGTATGCCCTTCCAGATGCAACCCATCACTGGGAAAAATATTAATAATAATTATTATTATTATTAATATTGAAGTGATTTCTGAAGGATCATGTGACTCTTAGGTCTGGAGTGATGAAGCAGAAAATCTTTAAAATCACTGGAATACATTATTAAATTAAATGGTAAACTACTTTTGAACAGTTATTTTATAGTGCAATAACATTTCACAATTTTACAATTTCTGCTGTATTTTTGATCAAATAGATGCAGCCTTGGTGAGCAGGATAAGCTTATTTAAAAACATTTAAAAATCCTACTGACCCCAAACGTTTGACTGTAGTGTATTTTAAAACAAATTGATTAAATACATAAACGTTCTGAGCTCAAATAAAATGAGTGAGTTTAAAAATGAGTTTAAACTCATAAAATGAGTTTTTGTCCACATATTGTTTGAGAATATCCAAAAGTCTGCTCCTGGATTTTCTCAAACAATATGGGAATAAAAATAAGATCATTTTGAGAAATGATAATGGCCACAATGGTCTCATTTTTATTTCAATTTTGGCAGCACTTCTACTTCAATCACTAGCTGCACTAATGCCAGGTCTTCAGGCTAGTTTTATGACAAGTCTGTCAAAGAAAAATCATATGTTATGCATGATTGAAAACTGTGAGTCAGTCAGTATTGGCCGACAGTCACTTATATGATGGTTTTCTCCTGCAATCTCAGGTACTTTCAGCTGGCTCGCTGCTACAGGGACGAAGGCTCCAAACCTGACAGACAGCCTGAATTCACACAGGTAATGATGTGCTAAAGACTGGGAGGAAACACGTCGCTGCATGTCTGACAATATCTGCAAAACTAGGGCTCTGTACTGATGCAGATGAATATTGAGTGTTTTAATGATGCGCTTCGCTCTGACTCCCACTCATGAGGGCGAGAGCTGCTAATAGGCTTTGCAGCATCCTCATTCAGGCTAAAACTCATGAACCCCACAAGACCATTTTGCTTTCCTTCAGACAGGCAGGAAAAATCTGATTTTTGGGGGAGCATTCGAATCAGACCTGTTTAATTATTTATGGTATGAATTGCATAAAAAAAAGATTGCATTTCCTGACAAAAACCACATTTGCAGTTCCTGATACAAACCACATTTAAAAATGTTTTCAGATTTATATACTTAAATGATAATGATTGGGGCCCGCTTTATATTATGTGACCTTAACTAATATGTATTTACAATTAAATTAATAATTTGTTACAGTGTATTTATTGTGTAATTACTTGTTTTTACATTTTACTTATGATTGATTAAATACATGCATGTAATTACATCTGCAATCAGATTTATAATTACGCTGATGACCATACCTTACACCTTAACCCACTATTAAACCTACCCATACCACCATAACTGTCCCTAACCCAACCTGTATCCCACCTCAAAAGCACAGAAGAGTTTTGCAATACATTATATAGACATTCCGTACATTGTATTTTTAATTTTTGTTGATGTAAGACAATTGAGACAGTAATGTTGTATTTATATGAGAATACAAGTTTGGTTATCCTCTTCAAAAATGTAATTTAGGTAAAAATGGCCACACCCATTTTAAAAGTGGATGATATGCCCTATGGCTCACAAGGACATAACAAAGAAGAGAGACACCCAAGAAACATAATTTATTAAAGAAACAGTTTTAAATGGAGCCAACCCTCAGTACTACCCAGACTGAGGCCCTGTTTACACTAATGCATTTTCGTTTTAAAACGCATACGTTTTGCTACGGTTATGCCATCAGTCCACACTAGGCCGGAGTTTTCGGGCGCCGAAAACGGATCGTTTTGGAAACGCTGAAGAGGCCGTTTTCATTCTAAAACGCTGCTGCTCCGTGTCAGTATGAATGGAGGAAAACAGAGACATCTGAAAACTGAGGCGGGGCTACAGACATTTACCTTTCTGATTGGGGCTTTTCCTCAAAATAAAGTAGCCTACACACAGTTGAGACCTGCATCCTCTCCTTGTATGTTCAGACTTCGCAAGTTTGATATGGAAAACAGACTCCCGAGGACACGTCAAATAAATCTTCAAAGGGAACAGTATACTTTATAACCTCACTCACACCATCCTGGATACGTACGTTGTTTCACTATCTTAACAATAAATGGAAAACATAATGTAAGGAACTGCTATTTTCATTTTGATATTAACAACTTAACAGAGCAGAAATGTTGAGGCGTCGTGCTGCATATATGAACATCATCTTCACTGTGTGCATATTTATAACAAAACGGAGCCTATAACATTACTGCCTCCTTTCATTTTCATTGAAAATTCAAAACATACCCTCTTCTTTGCTGAATATCAGTTTTAATAATCAATAATGGCCATTATAAACGTATAACGTACAAAAAGTTTATACATTATTGGAAATAAAGGCAAACATTCTTATAAATATAAATAATATATTATATAAATATTAATTTATATTTGCGCTCAACCAAAACACGTTACCTGAGAACAAGTAATAGATTCAAAAGACCAAAGTTGGGGTATATGTCGTTAGATTTAGACAACAAGATAAATTAAGTTTCACGTTTAACAAATATAGTGAGATTGGATCCAGCGGTAGATCCTTGATGATCAGCCTGACAAGCACAGCTCTCATATGGGTAGATATGTTGCAGCGCATGCTAGAGTGTGTGTGTGTGTGTGTGTGTGTGTGTGTGTGTGTGTGTGTGTGTGTGTGTGTGTGTGTGTGTGTGTGTGTGTGTGTGTGTGTGTGTGTGTGTGTGTGTGTGTGTGTGGTCACGCGATGTGCGTTTTCAATGGTGTAGACGAAAAGTTGTTCAGAAACGCTACCGTGGACGCGGATCGTTTTCATTCTAAAACGCCGTTTTAAAACTAAAATGTACTAGTGTAAACGGGGCCTGACACTCTATGTCATAGGACGTCACAGTGGCGATGAATTGATTTTGTGTATTTTTGTTTGTTTGATAGTTCTTGTTCATTAATGTTCAGAGATTTTCTTTCTGCACTGCTTTGGGCAAAAAAAATATAAAACAAAAATAAAATACATTTGTTTTTGTTTAGAAAAACAGCAGATTTTTTTGTTCCATAGCGAATTTTGTTTTGAATTGCAAACTAATTGCATGATATTTGAAGCAAAGCTCATTTAAAATCATAAACCTTTGAAAATCTTACTGATTTTAAATAATATAAATCATAATCTTATTTATTTAATTATTTATTCATGTAATTTATTTATTTATGCAGTTATTTATGCCCTCTTTTGCCTGTCGACAGTACATCATATTATTTACTGGCTTATGTTACTACTTATTTAGCAAGATGCTAGTCTTTAAAGCAGGGGTGGACAAACTTTTCATATGAAGGGCCAAAAACCAAATATCATTGATAGCCATGGGCCAAAGATGAATATACAAAATTATTCTTCATTAAAGTTAACACGTGTCATTTCTTAACTCATTTAATAATATAAAAAAAAAATAAATAGAAAACATTACTTTCAATTGTATTAACTAGTGCAGTATAACTTTTTTTTTTTAATGATAACTTATTGCAATAAATCATAAACAATCACATTTATAACACAGTGGAGTTCAATGCTGAATACACTAGTCAAGCAGAAGTTGTCTTTGCCTTGATTCGCTCACCAAAGTCTCTGCATTGACCTCTATGCGTCGTATGTACATTTTAAACTAAATCTGGTTAATTTGAAACGTATCATTCAGATAGCTTTTTTTGTAGCTAAACAATAAAACAAACTAATAAAAGATTACATTAAATTTTAAATGATAATGTCTAAACCATTCTCAGATGGGATGGTGGGCCAAATCAGGTTATTAAGGTCCCTTGCTTGGGCATCTCTGGTTTAAAAGCTTAACTGCATTAAATAAGTTAACTAGGCAAGATGGTTTAAGTAAGTCATTCCACGAAAGTGTTTTGGTCTGTAGTGAATCAAACTAAAAGGTTTTCTTAACGGGGCAAATTATTTTGACCTAAGCAGTTTCTACATTTTTAAAAAAATATACAGTATGTATGTTTTTATTCCAACCGAACTAAAATGAAACAAGATTTTCTCTTGAAAGAGTAATTACTGTGAAAAATGTCCTTAATCTTCAATTGGGAAATGTTGATGTTGAAATGTTGGAAAATTTTCCAGATAATTTTGATTTAGTTCAGATCAAATACATTCAATTCATTTTGCAATGCTTTTTAATCAAGGGTGCACTCACATTATGCTATCTGAACCATACCCAAACGCATTTCTTGGTTCTTTTGACAAGTGTGAGTGCTCTGAATCAGGCAGTTCAGTCGGCCAGCCCTGGCCCGGTTGGAAGAGATGTGCCAGAGCGTTGTTCGGTTGGGCTTTGGTGCGGTACACTTGCAGCGTGAGTGCAAAGCTTGCCTGAGCCCGATACTGAAGACACAACGTCACTTTTTAAGTAACTGTTTCATAATAATTTATTAATCATTCTTACTTTTTAATGAACGCAAACTGTCGTTGTTTATTAATGACGCAAAACTCTTAAAAAAAAAAAAAAAAAGTTGTGGACCTGTTCGGCAAAATATTTGTCTGCGTGTTACTGCACCCCAAACGACTAAAACAATATAACTACAGCAATGTTCACTGTGCTGAGAGAGAGCCTCTCTTCCTGTTAAACTAAGCAGTCGCATCATCAATGTAATTATTCTCAGGTTTGAAAGGCAAAATGCAGTGTGAGTGCAGGACGAGAGGGAGAGGGGAGGGGGCACAATTGCGCTTCGGCATGATTCAAGGCAACTGTACCTAATGTGAGTGAGTACACCCTAAGATTGTAGCTGATCTGGGGGTCAATTTGGTGTAACAGTATGCAGTGTGCGGCTGCACGGTGGTGCAGTGGGTAGCACATTCATCTCACAGCAAGAAGGTCACTGGTTCAAGCCTCGGCTGGGTCAGTTGGCGTTTCTGTGTGGAGTTTGCATGCTCTCCCCGTGTTCGCGTGGGTTTCCTCTAGGTGCTCCGGTTTCCCCCCCAGTTCGAAGACATGGGGTACAGCAGAATTGTGTAGGCTATAAATTATCCGTAGTGTATGTATGTGAATGAGTGTGTATGGATGTTTCCCAGTGATGGGTTGCAGCTGGAAGGGCATCAGCTGCATAAAACATATGCTGGATAAGTTGGCGGCTCATTCCACTGTGGAAACCCCAGATTAATAAAGCGACTAAACCGAAAATGAATGAATGAATATGCAGTGACCATTTTCACAAATTTCTCTTTTTCAGGTAGATATTGAGATGTCCTTTGTGGACCAGGCTGGAGTCATGAGTTTGATTGAAGGCTTGGTCCAGTTCTCCTGGCCAGAGGACAAAGGACAGATTAATGTCCCCTTTCCCACCCTGACTTATGAAGAAGCCATGAGAGACTACGGAGTTGACAAACCAGACACTAGATTTGGGATGAAGGTGACCGCTTGTTTTTTTCTTTCTACACATCATCCTAGATTGGACGTAAGACATCAGTGAGGTTGTTTGCATGCTGGCCGTCCTTGGCGTCACGCTGAGATTGCATCCTGTTTCCCCACACATCACAGATTTGCATGCGGTGCTCAACAATTACAAATGAATCTCTGGTGATACGTTCTCTTGCACTGGTGTGCGCCCTGAATGCTTTCGGTTCTGCTCAGAAATTTACAAAAACCTATGCCGAGTCTGTGACGCTTTTTAATACATACAAACATAAGAGATGCAGATTGAAAGTAAGAGATTTTACTTCCCATTAACCAAGGAATACTGAGAGGGCAAAAGTATTATGGTTTTCTCAAAAATATTGCACTAAAACTATTAGAGTTACCAACTGAGCATATTTGGGTGATTTCTGACTAGTTAAGTGACTCTACGGAGTGGAGTAATGATGCTGAATTTAGCTTTTTTCATCACAGGAATAAATTACATTTAAAAAACAAACAAAATGATTTAAATAGAAGTAATTTTATAATAAAAGAACTGACAGTGGAAATTGTAAATATTGTAATGTGTTTTGTTCCTACTTTATTTTCCGCATCACTACTCCAGTGTCATGTGACCCCTCAGAAATAATTCTGATATGACGATTTGCTGCTCTGTTGTGATCAGTTATTATTGGTGCTCTATCATGAATAAAGCTTCTGATCAGGGTTGAATACTTTTTGTATTTTATTACAATGTTAATGTTAATCAAAATTTAATTATTTGCATGAGTTTATTTACATGATTTACTTTTTTATTATGAACAATAAAAAGTAACATAATTTAATACAATTTATGACTGTAATTTTTGATTACTTAAATTTTTTATGTATTATGTTCAAAGCTCAGGTACGATTTTCATGTTTTGGGTCAAATTTGCATTCATTGGATTTAGTGAAAATCCACAAACACAGCATCATTAAAAATACAAATCAGTTCTATTCACGGTTATTTATTTTGGAAGCTCTGATATCCAAATAAGTAAACCTAAAAATACTTTAATATTATATATTTTAATAATCGCAGCCAAAAATAGCAATTACAATACACTTCCTGGTTACTTCCTGAATCCCCAACAATGGAAGGATTAGCTAGAAATAGTATATAATATTTATGTGATGGAAAAAATGACATTCTCCCTTTTTCTCCAAATGAATGCGCTTAGAATCATCTGGTGCAAGTGGACTGAATACATTAGGTTGTTCTATCCAGTCTTTGTAGAAATATAAAAAGATTGCTGCCTTATTCCCATCCACTGAACAAACATTTTTCAATTTACAACCTATTGCAGTCCCTTTCTTAATTCTCTCTTTAGAATAAAAATTTACAGCTGAAAATAACTAAATTTGAGCGAATAAATAAAGATTCAACTCTCTCTGACCTATGTGTATTTAATTATTGCTATTATTTCTGTTACCATTTTATTGTTACTGATATTTTTATTTATTTTATTTCATAAAAACCTTTGTTTTCTACTGTGTTCTGTTACTTTATAGTTTGTAAAAAAGAAAAATGTTTAGCAATGGGAAATGTACATTCTTAATTGAAATCATTGTACCGTATATATTGCTACTCTAAATAAAATAATGTAAAAAAATACAAATCAGTTAATGTTAATGTTTTTAGTACATAATTACAATTTATTATAAATAACAATGAAAAATACATTTATTACAGTATTTATTCATCTTTGTTAACTTCAGGTAATTAAAAAAGTCATTGATTGGTAGTTCTTGTTAGCTCACCGAGTACTAACTTATGTTATGCACAACTTTGGATTAGGGATGCACCAATCCCGATATTTGGATCGGATGTCAGTTCGATACCATTTTCTGTTTTTTTGGTACCGATCTAAATATGATCTTGCTCGTGCACTAAATTCTGTGTAACTTATAAGCCAACAAAAGCCATGAAGGTATCCTATTTTAAGGCATTACAAAGTTGTCATGTAGGGCTACTATATCCCAATTTTTCTAAAGCCATTCTATAGTTTAATGTGAACCACAGATGAATTTTCAGGTGATTAAATTCAACTTGACTTCAGCGCTTCCCTCTGCTGCGATGTCAATCATTATCCATTCATTCACAATTCAAGCTGTGTGACACGTTTGTTTATTACAACACAATTTTTTTTCCAAGACTGTTTGTTCCTGTTAATATAAATAATCAATAAAGAAATGCATTTAGTTTTGCATTTAATGGCTTCATTTTGACCTGCAACAATGAGTTCATTGCTGTATTTAAATCATGTTGCGCTGTTAGATCAGCAGCAGTTGCAGCACCTGGAGTAGAGAAGGGGTATTACCTGCTCTTCACACACAACGGACCTTGTAATATAGCAAGTTTTGGTGAGGGAATATTTAAGTAAAACTGGCCTCAGACAATTTAGTTTAGTCTGCATTAAACCTGCAGGAAAATGTCAGGCTTTGCTAAAAGACTGGATATTTTACCAATGATTAGGGTCAGTGTGGTAGCTTATTACAGATTTAAAGAAAAATCTTAATATTAAAAAAGTAAACAAAAGCTGGACCACAACTGATCAATGTTATAATGAATGCTCAAATAATGTAGCCTAGTTTATTAGGTCTGTTATTTTTACTAAAAAATATATTATTTGAGTTTATCACCAGAACTATAGAAACTGTATTATGTAAAAATAAAACAAAATAAAAAGAAAATGGTGAACAAACGTATAGGAAACGGATCTGTATCGGTCGATACTTAGAATTTTGGTATCGGGATCGGAATGGTTCCAAAAAACTGGTATCGGTGCTTCCCTACTTTGGATTTTAACAATGCATTATAAAAAGCTGGACTATGATTACTAAGTGCTGTACAAATATTGTTCATTCTTAGTTCATGTTAGAAAACACATTAATTTACCTTAATTTATGGATTACTTATTTTAAACAAAAAATGATTAGCACATAAGAATGATTAGCATTAACATTATTAGTTCATTAATAGCTTACAAACATTTCAATAATACTATTAAAATGGAAGTATATAATTAAAACAGTATTTACCCCTGCCTACTCTCAAAAACAAAAACTTTTTATAAACAATTTAAGAATTTAAACTAAAGGAATGTGAAAAACAGCTTATTCTCTAACCTCATGTGAAGGTTTTGTGTGTTTACAGAAACTCATTTTGTAATTGTGAAGTGTTTTCTTGTATTCAGCTTGTGGATGTCAGCACAGCATTTCAGGGAGCACAAATTGAGTTCATCAAAGATGCACTTCTTGAACCGGAGGGCTGCGTTCAGGCCATCTGTGTCCCAGAAGGAACGGTAAGCCTGAAATCTACAAATTCTGATGCTTTAACACATTGACTTCTACAACACAAACTGTGTAGTTTGATTTCCAAACAAACTAATCTGTTCTGAGTTGGTTCATTTTAATAATTCAAACTAATCAACCAGTGCAGATTTTCTATGAGCTATACTGTCGCTAAATAACATAGGGAATTAATCAAATTTGCTAAAACATGAGGAAATACCGAGTGTAAATTTAATTTAAAAGTGAAATATTTCACTTTTCAACTCAAACCAATCAACTCAAAACATTTGAGGAAACCGATTGCATCAAACCATTTCAGTTTAAAAACTAATTTATTTGAGTACTGTGAACTTCCACCATTTAAGTAGATGTAATGAAGTATTCAATTAACTCAATACCTTCAACACTGAGTTTAAAACTCTTTTCAAATGAGTAGAATTAACTTTCAGTCATTTTTTAGTTAACTGCACTCATTTCATTTGATAAATTTGACTGTTGGGTTTTACATTGTGTCAATAAAATCAGCAAGCTTAAGCCCAATGTGATAACATTAGCGAACAGTTTTAGGAAAATAAATAAATCTCAAATTCTGTCAGTTGTTCAGACTTCTGCAAAAAAAAAAAAAAAAAAAAAAACAATCCTAAAACTATGGCTGGATCCATCTGTTTCACCCGATCTATTCTGGAGGCTTTATCTACTGGACATTATTAGTTTGGAATGCACCACAGCCAAAATAAATGGTGCCAGTAAAAAAACTGTACATTTTTGGTTAAATATGAGAGAGACTGTATCAGATATGTTTCAATCCTGATTTTGGACCTATTATTATAGTATTACTGTTTTTATTATTATTATCATTTTTTACATTTTTTGTTGGGTGGATCTTCCAATACAAAAAGAAAAATTAATAAGCATGTTCAACATACTGTAATTTACATGATCAGTCACTTTTCAAGCTAACTTTCTTCTGACTACTGCACATTTATTAAGTACATTCGGGCAGTCATATTTGTCATTCTTTTTCTGGAGGTGTTAAAACTGACTGTATGTATCATTTCTTTCGCAGAAACATCTGAAGGGCAAAGACTTTGAGTTTCTGAAACAAGCAGCCAAGACACAGTATGGTCAGGTGAGTCTTGTGTCTTCATGTGTTCACATCACGGGAAGTCTCCTGAAATATTTATCTGAAAAGAAATCGATATGTCAGGATCATTTGGTGGTAAAACATTCAAATGTTACACACAGCACATTCACCCTGAGGCAAGGATCGAGCTCATGGAGACACAGCTCTTTATTTGTGTTGTAGGCCATCCGAGGAGTCTAAAAAGGGAATGTTAAATGCATTTTTTGTTTCTTCAGTCCATCTGCAGAACATTTGTAATTTATGGCTTATAATGATTCATTGCATGCGAAAGTGTTTGATCACTTCTTCAAGTTAATTCATGTTAAATGATTTATACTGGGATAAAATATTAATAAAAATTCAAGTTTAGTCTCTAATCTGCTCATGTAAGTGATGCTGTATAGTGCTAAAACAAGAATATTTGTATTACTGATGCTTATAATGGAAATTATTTTTGATGTAGTTTACCCAAAAATTAAAATAGCCTCATTGTTTTCTCTCTTTTATGTCATTTATGTCTGTGTTTCTCAACTATGAATATGAAATGAATATGACACAATTTTCAACACTAATTATTTTAGTTTGACCTGTCCAATTAAGGCTTGGAATTTTAACTAATTAAATTAGCATAATCTGTTAAATATAAAATCCAGGAGTCTTTAATTGAAACTAAGTATTAAAAAAAAAAAAAAAGTGACTCTTAAAATTAGTTTCTTTGTTCTTGGTGAATCGGAAAGAACCTTGTGTAGTTCACTGATTGTTAAACACACTATTTTTATTAGTTGTTTCTTTTCATTGAAACTAAACCACAGGGTCTGACTACTGCTGTTCAACTGATTCATACAAATATATTGTTCTGCTCTATTTATTATTAGTGAATGAAAACTACACAGTGTAAACAGTGCAGTCCAACCAATTCACAAATAAATGTAATAGTTGTTTCTTTCTGGAGAATTAAATCCTTCCAGAGCTGTCAGTGTTTTCTGACTAATTCCTGAACAAATGCCTTTTATATTTTGTCTCTTTTTTGTGTGTGAATCAGAACCATACAGTGTGACCCAAGCAGTTTATATAAATCTCAAGTAAGTAACCTTTATGAGCATTTCTTTTCAGTGAATAAAACACAGCTAGCGCAGTTTCACTCTCAAACAACTGAACAAATAATTAATGAGTCAGTTCTTACTGATTAAAATCAAAACCAAACAGAAATCTATGTAGAATAAAATAAAGCCTGTAACTTGCTGCTGTTTTGTATTTAAAGCTTGTGAAATTTAAACGATTGTAATTTTATTAGTTGCATTTTAAAAGAAAAGATTATTTTGTAAAAGTACTTCTTATTTATTTTTTAATTGAAACCATATTGCGATCAAAGGGCTCTATTTTAATAGTCTAAGCACAAAGTCTAAAGGACATGGCACAAAAGCAATAAGGAAGTGTCCGAATCCACTTTTGCTATTATAAGGAAGGAAAAATAAGTTTTGCGCCTGGCGGATGGTCTAACTGGGTTGTCCTTATTCTCTTAATAAGTAATGCTGCGTTCACACCAGACGCAGAACGCGCAGATAAATCGTGATATTCGCGCGTAAATAGCTGCGTGAACATTTAAGTTTACTCGCTTCATTCGCTTGTCAAACCCCGCTTCATTCGCATGTCAAATCCGCTTCATTTGCACGTCAAATTGACTTCAGAACAGACGCGGATTCACGTGATGGGCAGGGCTTCTGTCTGCCCGGTGATTTAGCTTCAAAGCTAAATGGCTAACATGGATTTTATTGAGAAAATAACAATGTTTATGTGCTTCATGAAGACATACAGAAAAACAGCGTCGATCAGCGGTGCTTCTGACTGAGCCGAGCCCAGTTTGATGAACTTTTTGTCAGTGTCGGCTGGAGGATTTCCCCTGGGACTCCAACAACAGGTGTACATCACAATCACCTGTACATCACAATCACTTTTGAACGCAAGCAATTCGCGTCAAACGCGCAAAATGCTCAATTCGCACTGCACCACTCACGTGTATCGTGCCATTTGCGCAGTGCCATTCGCGTCATTCACGCCGCACCACGGATCGCGCCGCAGGATGTCTATTCGTGTGTTTGCAATGACTTAACATGTAAATCACTCGCGCTTGACGCGTGTTCCACGTCTGGTGTGAACGCAGCATTATGGGTGTGTTTTAAGCATAACATGCATTAAACCAATCAGAGTCTCAACTCCTATAGCCTTTAACAGTCAGTTGAGTCACACCATGGTGCATTTGCTATTTACATGCCAGACTTTGCAAATGGAAAAACTCAATGGTAAAACTGAATGCTCCATCAACGAGAAAATAGTTAAACAGACCATCTGAATGGCAAGGATATAGAATGATCCTCCTTCGTTCAGCCTCTTTGCTTTCTTTTTACTTTACTTTTACTCTTACTTTACTCCCTTACTTTCGTGGATAAGGAAACGGTGGAAACTGACTCCACCGAAGAAGACATCCATTAGTCTACATATTTAATTTAGTTTAAGCACAATGATTTGTTTCAAAACTATTTCTAAATTCAGTTCTAATTTCCAGCCAACGAATAAATGAACAATAATAACAAAATGTGGTCAGAAAACAGGGTTATGTCCAAACATGCTTCCTATTGCTCCATGTAGTGATGCATCAATGGCACAGTCTATTTCAGCTCTTCAATATAGCAACGCATCAACAATTCGCCTTAACACGCCTCCTTTTTAGACTAGCACACCCATGAGTCCACAAAGTGGCGCAAATGGATTTGCCATTAAAAAACATGGCACAAAACATGAAAATTACAGTTGCGCTGGTCGGAAAATAGCAACCAATTGCGGCAAACATGTCTTGCACCCTATTGCATCGGGTGTATGATGACAGGACCCATAGTGTTAAAGGGTTAGTTCAAACAAAAATTAAAATATACTAGCCCTCAAGGGGTTAGGTCCTAATATTATGAATATACCCCCCCCCCCCCCCACCCATTCAAACAGATTTATGGCAAATGGAAGGAGAGTGAATGATGACAGTATTTTCAAGTCTTGGTAAACTATCCTTTTGAATATTGTCTTATATTTTAATTGTCTAGAGTTGTGATGAGAGGCATTATGTCTTAAATACTTATTTTGGAGCTAATAGCCAAATGGGCATCACTTCAGGTGACCCAAAGTTTTGGCTCTTTTTACTCACTTTCTCCCAAACTGCTTCCTTAAAGTTTCTTAAATGTGCTTTAATACTTTAGATAGCTGACAGGTCTGCTTAGTTCCTCCTCTCTATTTACTCTGCTGCCTGTGTATATATATAAACAGAAAGTCAACTTTGTGCTAGTGTTGTTGGCTTGAACCAATGGCATCATCAAAGGTGATTCTCCCTCACTATCCGTTTCAGCCCAGGTCTTGGCTTAGCTAGTTTCTGGGAAACCAGCCCAAAATGTTCTCAAGACTGATGATTGCTCAAGAGTTTGTGCCCTACGCTGTCAATGGAAATTGAATATGGGCCGATGGAGGAAATGGATGATCATTGGTGTGTTTGCGCCGTGTGTCGTACAGGAGGTGAGCGTGGTTCCAGTAAGGGCAGATGGTTCACTGAAATCTCCTCTCAGCCGGCTGCTCTCGGACACGGCCAAACAACAGCTGCTCCAGATGGCCCAGGCCAACGCTGGAGACCTGATCTTCATCACGGCTGGACCCCGCGAGAATGTGGTGCGTATCTGACTTGGTTTTGTTCCGCAATGTTGATTCGCTTGCTAAAAAGTATCATGAGAGCTCAGCATGCAAATATGGAAGTTAGAGATGCTCCAAATGACCAGCCCAAATTCAGAATTGGTGTGTGAATCAGTGTGATTATACTGAAAAAAACTTTTATGTTTGGACAGTTTTCAGCTCATGTTGAAGTCATGGCATGAAGTTTTTTTTTTCCCCAAAAAGTATGAAAAATTTAGCAGAATACTGAATTTTAATCTGTGAAAACTTCACTAATCCAAAGCTAGAGTAAACACCTATACTTAGTCTACATGGGCTTCATCCACATCTGATGATTTTATGAATTATGGATGTACTTGGAAAAACCCACTATCAGAAGTCGACTCTTCCTGTTGCTAGTAATACTGGGTGGAATTCTTAAATACTAAATTGTGGCGTGAGGTTTTATACAGGTTATTTTCTTTTTACATTATGGTCACTATCTAGCCAATTTTTGCTACTGTAAAATTAGCGGCCCTTCTGGAATATATTGAGTTAACAATATTGATCGTTGAGCCTGTCTACTGTTTTAGTTTTGTACTAGGTTTGGTAACACTTTATAATAACTACACGCTATGAATCATTTGTTAAACATTAGCAAATAGTAAATTGATTATTTGTTATTCTACATTAATTGACCTTAACTCTACATTAATAGACGTTAGTAAGCAGTTTATACTTACATCTACAAATGCTGTGTTCTTAATTTAAAAGGACATGTATAATCTGCTTAATGAGTGTGTTTTCATACTTTGTTAATGATTCATTTTTCATTTATAACCTTTGCATTTATTTACAAACCAGTTATTTAAGAATAGTTGTATTTAAGATCATTCAGAATGCATATTTAATGATTAATAAACTCTTTAAATCAACATTTATATATCTTATTATTCAGGAATATATTTATAGTTCATTTGTATGTTAATAAATGCTTTATTAACTCAACTCCATCCAATGACCTTATTTAAAGTGTGGACTATTAATGTTATCTAAATCCCGTATAAATAACAAATAAAGGCTCAGTATCAAATGAACAATACATCTTAAAATAAATCTTTGCAATCTTATCTAAAAATATGTAATTGCTGAAAAATTAAAACATTGCTGAATAACAGGAATGTCGAAATATAACATAAAATTGAGTACTGTAATTATTTAAAATATACAGTTATTTAATTTTTGTTAAGAACGCAAAGATTTATTTTCCATTTGATGCAGTTTCATTTGTGTATCTTTAAATGAATAGAAATGTAGTTGTTTATTTTCTTTTTATTCTTTTAAAATATAGCTTAGTCTTTAATTGTTTATAAGGGATTTACAAAGCATAAATAGTCCTCACTTTAGATAAGGTAACAAAACTGAATGAAGTTGAGTTATTAAAGAATTTATTAGTATGCAAAGTAATTAGTAATGTTTTCCTAAATAATAAGATATACAAATGTTCATTTGAATAGTTTAGTAATCATAACTTATGCATTCTGAACAATCTTAAAAAAAAACACCAACTATTCTTAAATAACTGGTTTGTTCATTCATTCATTCATTCATTTTCTTGTCGGCTTAGTTCCTTTATTAATCTGGGGTTGCCTCAGCGGAATGAAACATCCTCCCACTCATTCATACACACACTCATACACTACGGACAATTTAACCTACCCAATTCACCTGAACCTCATGTCTTTGAACTGTGGGGGAAACCGGAGTGCCTGGAGGAAACCCACGCGAACACAGGGAGAACATGCAAACTCCACACAGAAACGCCAACTGAGCCGAGATTAATAACCGAAAGGTTATTAATGAAAAATGAATCATTTACAAAGTATGACAACACACTCATTAAGCAGATTATACATGTGCTTTTAAATCATTAACAAAGGATTTGAAGATGTATTTATGAACTGCTTACTAACGCCTATTAATGTAGAGTTAATACTTACAGATAATCAATTAATTATTTGCTAATGCTTAATAAATGATTCATAGCATGAAGTTATTATAAAGTGTACCCAAGTTTTAATGTAGCATAAACTAAAAAATAAAAATAAAAAAATTGCAAATTTGTTTTCCGTATTTTGTAATTCATGTTTTTTTCAGTTATTTATGCTTTTTAATTTCATTGTGGGACCTTGATCTTTCCTTCAACAACTTTGGATGTTGAAAAGACATGATGTTCAACAGGATGTTGAAAAAAAATTTTTTTTTACATGTTTATTAGCTTGAAGTATTAGCTCTTAGCTCAAAAAATGCATACATTTTTATTTTTTTTAAATTGAATAATATTTAAAACAAAATGTAATTCTATACAGTGTTTACTTTCAAGCTACTAAAATGCCAATAAAGTCACTTTGTTGAACTGCACAGTTCAATATTTAACATAAAAATCGAAAGAGCAGAGATAAAGGTTCCTTAATGCAAATAACCATAAATAAAATGCAAATATAAGCTGTGAATCATGAATTATTGAACCTGTTAATTAACGAATATTCTTCACAGTCAATAATTTCACAGAGCCAGTAAAATTATTTTCTTTTTATTTTAAATGTGGAATAAAACTATACAATTTGATTAAAAATTTTAAATAAAATCTAAATTGTATAAAATATCTGAATCGGCCAGTTTGCTTTAAAAAAATCAGAAACACTTCTGGTGCATCACTAATTTAAATCAAACTACTGTTGAACAGCAAGTAAATGAACGGCCAGCATCCTTGTTTAATGTCCTTAAGAACCTTTGCTTTAGTTTTTGTGCCCTGAAGTGATTGATGACTAAGGGTTTTTGAAAATACAGTTTCGGAAGAATGCTGACATGATCTAATCACTTTAAAAAAAGAATATTCATCTTTTCCGGGCCTCAGCTCTCGCTCGGGGCCAGTGCAGATGGTAAGCTTGGCACAAAGTGAGACAGCTTTTTTAGTCACAAAGCTGAGATGGCTAGGGATAACTGGCGAGCTTTGTGCACTGAGGTTGTACGATGAATGGCGATTCTAGTGCAGAAAGCCAAAGAAATGAGAGCTAAGGGGGATCTTTCAGCTCAAAGATGGTTTTAAAAATCGTGATGTTCATTAGCATGTACAGGTACATCGCCTTAAAAGCATGAATTGTAAAAGCCTCTGGTGGTTTCATTTTTAGAACTGTAGTCAGATTTTTGAATCTTTAAAATTGCTTTTAAACTGAAGGTTAGAAGTTGTTCGGTATGTGAGCAACACCTCAGTAGTAGTTCTTTCTGAGGCCATCCTGGATTTGCTGCTTCTTCTTCTAAAACACGCATAATCTTTTATTTATGTAAAAGAGTTAGTTCAAACAAAAAAAGTTCAAACCTTCTTGTCCTTCCAAACCTGCAGTACGTTGTCTTATGCATAACATGGGAAAAAACGGACCCTTTTGACTCGCCAGTGTATAGGCAAAAATGAATGTAACTAATAATTTTGAGGATTATTTACAATTCTTACATACATAAAAACTTGAATATGGTGTTTTGTTGCTCTTGTCAAACACGTTACTCTCTATAGACCTGCTCTTGTCCAATCTTAAAGCAGTGCTAAAGTGTGCCACTCTCAAAACCATTTATACAGAGACCTCTTGTTAGCCAGCTGTACATACTGTGTCTAAATCTATGTGGGTTTTTAAATAATAGCATGGGTTATAACAACTTTTCTCCCTTTCTTTATAGTATATAGTGTTGAGATGAAATATAAGTTCTTAATGTCTTAGTGTTTATCAGGATATCGATAATTATTGAATATGCTTTAACAATATATTTAGGAATATTAGGACCACTTTATTTTGCTTGACCAACATTGCCAAATAAAATAGTTTTACAATATATCTCACCTCTTTACAATAAAATAAACAAAAGTGTTAAAGAGACTCTTAAACTTGATAAATAAAATGTTACAAAGTGTGTGCCATGGTAAAAGTAGATCAACATCTAAAAGGTGTCAATAAAAATGATACAGTAAACCTCAAACTCTGTAAACAAAACAAATTATGAGAATCAAATCTGAGCTTTCAAGTAAAGGAACTAATCATCATTATTCAAATACATATTGCAACATGACTTATTGTGAAGTTGAATTACTATATTTCCTACTATGCTAAAAAAAACAATATGGGGAGCTTGTAGCTGGGATGCACAAGAAAAGAAACCAAAAAGCCACTCCGGTGAGATCCTTACATCCTTTTTTTTATTTACAATCTCCTCACTGCTACTAAACGGCACTTATTTTCGCATGTGTTGTTATTCTGACCTGCAGATTTGGTTAGTTTTACTTGCAGTTTTAGAAGCAGATTGGATAGTTCTAGCGCACGGGGTATTTGGAAAAGTCTGGATGTTTTCAACTAGGTGTACCTGCAAATTGCTTGCACAGCATGTGCACATTGTTCCCATGTGTGCATAGTGCACGTCGCGCGTCACACTCAGCAGCCACATTTTTCGTCTATTTTAATATTAAAGTTTTTGCTGAATGATTTGTTTATGAAAATGTTTGTATGTAGATTTCATGTTTAAATTTGAGTGTACCCATAATTACAAATGAGACCCACAGATTGTTGTTATTAGCTAAAGATATTTTAAATAGTTTTTGGTAATTAAAATTGAGCATTTTAATATTAGATAAAAAAACTTTGTAAACTACACCTTTATAAATTAAACTTCATAAAAAATTAACTGAAATACAACAAAATACAGTTAAAGAAAAAAGTATTAGCCCTTTTGTGAAATTTTTATTATAGTTCAAATATTTCCCAGGTCTTAATTGACAGAGCTGTATAAAAAATACCTAAAGCTATAAATATGACAAAATCATCTAAATTTATAAATAACTCAAAAATAAATCTCTCTCTCTCTCTCTCTCTCTCTCTCTCTCTCTCTCTCTCTCTCTCTCTCTCTCTCTCTTTCTCTTTATCTCTCTCTCTCTCTTTCTCTCTCTCTCTCTCTCTCTCTCTCTCTCTTTCTCTCTCTCTCTCTCTCTCTCTCTCTCTCTCTATATATATATATATATATATATATATATAAATATCTATCTAAATAATAATATCTATCTATTTATTTTGGAAGGGCTAAATTATGACAGCAGTTAAAGGCATAGTTCAACAAAAAAAATTAATTTGGTTACTATTTACTCTCCCTCAAGTGGTTCAAAACCTTTTTGAGTTTCTTTCTTCTGTTGAACACAAAAAAAGGTATTCTGAAGAAAGCTTTAAAACCTGTAATCATTTATTTCCATAGCAGGAAAACACATGGGAGTATTCAATAATTCCACAATAGTCCAGCTTTCTTCAAAATATCTTCTTTTGTGTTCAACAGGAGAAAGAAACTCTTGAGTGAATATCAAATCATGAGAGAATAAACAATTCTGAGTGAACTATCCCTCAAAAGCTCAACCTTTGTTAAGCACATTGGGACACTGCACAATGAAGCTAAGTCTTTTCTCCCTTGGTAATCTTCTATTAATTATGTAAATAAAAGTAAACAATGGAATCTTTTTTTGTCATGCTGCAGCGTCCGCTGCTGGGTAAGCTGAGACTGCAGGTCGCTGAGCTGCTTGAGCGTTATGGTGTTCCAGTTCGAGACCCATCTGTCTTTCACTTTTTGTGGGTGGTGGACTTTCCACTCTTCTTACCCAAAGAGGATGATCCAGAGAGGCTTGAGTCGGCCCACCATCCCTTCACTGCCCCAGTCCCTGAAGATGCACATCTGCTGTACACCAGACCCCACATGGTATGATGCATCATCATCACAGTTTGTCTTTTTAAACTAGCAGAATATTTGCAGTGCATTTTGATGGAAACATTTAAAGGAAGGACACAAATCTTGATTTCAGTAGTGAATACTAATGATTTGGTTCTTAAAAATAGTTGGTAAATTGTTGGTAAAAATAGTTGTTTTGCTTAATTATTTCTGCTTGTTTAATGTTTGTAATACACACTTTTCATGAAGTAGAAATAACTGATGCATGCTTGAAAGAATTATTCATTTCTTAAAAACAATTTTGAAAAGTAATTAAGTTATTGATGTTTTGGTTTGCTTTTCATTGTGATTGTCTGACTTTTGGGCATCAGTAGTCGGCTTTTCATCCTAAAGTGATAGCAAATCTTTTAAAACTCGCTATATAAATAAAAGTATTTATATCCCAAATGTGGATTTAGACTTGTTTTCATCAAGTTGTTAGAGTGACTGACTGTAGTATTGGTAACCTAGTAACCAAAAGTAAACAAGGCAAGCATAATAGATATAGGAATGTCAGAGGTTATTTGGCAAATTTGTGTTTATCTACTAATGTTCACATTAAGGGCCCTATCATACACCCGGCGCAGTGGGGCGCAAGACGCGGCGCAGTAGTCTTTTGGTAGTTTCAGCTTGGCGCAAGAGTCGTTTTGAGGCATTGCGCTATGCTGTTTAAATAGCAAATGCATTAGCGCTCATATGTGCGCCAATAGGCGTTCTGGTCTAAAAAGGAAGGCGTTCTGAGGCGGACCGCTGGCGTGTTGCTAATTTGAGAATCTATAATAGATTTTTCATTAGACCAAAACTAACCTGGTCTAAACTCCGGCGCAGGGTTGCGCCTCGCTTACACACTGCTTAATACGCACAAGAGAGCAATAGGCAAATATCTTTGCAAATGAAAAAATGTAAATATTAAGGATATATATAGTATATAATAAGAATAGATATAGGATATAAATATAAAGGATTAAAATAACATATTATTTTCTAGGCTACATAAATATGAAAAATCACTGCTTTTATGTCTTCTTCATCTCGGGGGGCTTTTTCAGTTCATTCATAACAATTTGCTTTTGTGTAATGTTATTATTATTAGCAGTATTATTTATTATATCCATATTTATATTTGTTTTATTAAAAACAAGCTTAGATTTGCCCACCTGTCAGGTTTTAGACCATATGGGGCACAGCATGTGTTTTAGGATATAACTCAGGTTTTTGAGCTCATTTTGCTATTATTATTCATTTATTCATTTGCTGGAAATTAGAACTGAATTTAGAAATAGTTTTGAAACGAATATTTGCGCTTAACAAACAAAAGTATTCATTTATAGACTAATTGATGTCTGTGCGTAAAGGTTTCCATATCCAAGAGCGAAAGTGAAAGTGATCCATTATCTCTCATTCTCACGCAGTAGATGCTCTGTTTAACAGTTTTCTGTTAAAAAAAACTGTTAACTGTGAACTGTTTGCTTGTGAAATGCTCATTTTTTCCACTTAGACTTACTTTGCGTCCTGTAAATAGCGAATACGCTCTTGGCGCGACACAGCGGACTCTTAAAGGGAATGGGAGATTATATATATATGAGATTATAATTGGTTTATTCTCAAAACACACCTATAACTCATTAAGAAAATAAACTCAACCCTTTTAGATCATGCGCCTTGGCGCAAGGCAGATTTCCCGTCCTTAAATTAGCAAAAACGCGTCCTGACAGGCCCTGAAAGCGTTTGCGCCCTGCGTTTTGCGCTCTGCGCATGGACCGTCAAAATAGAGCCCTAAGTCTTTTTTGCACAAGTCCAAAACCATCTCAAATGTGTGTAAAAAAAAACTATTTTTTGTGGATTTTTCTGAATTTTATTCTGAATTTAGCATTTCCAGCACTCATTTCTCATGCGATTACTTCAAAATGTACTTAAACACAGTGATGTAAACCCAGCTAAGAAAGTCAAATTGGATAATTTATTAGCAAATATAATGTTTTGCTAATTTCAACATTGTATCACAATCGAATTATCTAAAATTAGAAAGTAAAAAAACTTTAATAAATGTTTTTGCTTTTACCAATTTCCATTTAAATCCAGTCAAACTGTTAACATTTTTATATTGTTTACTAGTTTTAATTATTGTTGTTATATGATAAATACATTGAAAAACAATTTAATTACATTCCTGTCAATTTCTTTTCCAAGTTACACTTAAAGGTGCAGTTTGTAGGTTTGACACCTAGGGCTCTATTTTGACGGTCCATGAGCAAAACGGAAAGCGCAGGGCGCTTTGAGAACCTTTCTGACTGAATGAATAAAATACGCTGTTTTCCACCAAGGCACCCTGGGCTGCTGAAATATAATTGGCTAAACCGCCACTGGGCAGGTTAAAAGTACCAAAACAAAGACAGTTGTTCCGGCACATATTTTCAAAGCAGAAATGCATTGTTTTCCCGATAATCAAGAATGTTCACTTAGCATTTCATTTAAATATCTGCAAACATAGTATTTTTATGCTTTAGTTAAGTCAAAACCTATTCTATTTTATAACAGTATGACACGATTCAATTCCATATCACAGATAAGTTTGTGTGAAATTAAAATGCACAATGTAAATTTTACACTGACTATAAATAGCTATTGTTTGTATTCATTTTTGTAGTTGTGTATTAAATTAGAAATACACAAAATGGAGGCATTTCCGCTGGTGGTCCCAGTCTTTTCAACCCACTGTGTGTTTTGATGTGCATCGTAGCATGAGCTAAGTTTGCGATACCCAGCAGCAGTCTGTGCTTTTATCACTTTGTAAGTCTACAGTCATAAGCTAAGCCTTTCACAGAGGAAATTTATGATCTTGCTCTGAATCCCAAACGCTGTTTATCTGCTCTCTCAGGTGCGTGGCCAGCATTACGACTTAGTTCTGAACGGCTGCGAGATCGGCGGAGGTTCAATCCGCATCCACAATGCCTCTCAGCAGCTGTACATCCTGGACACCATCCTCAAGGTAATGGAACAAGAGTGAAAAATGACAGCGCTTGTAATGGACATTTCCACATTCCAAACTGTACCGTTTTCTTATTTGTGACTCTTACTCAACACCCCCGCTCTACCCCTGTGCGGTCGCTCTGGCAACCCATTAAGCTATATTTAACTGCCTTTAAAGAAAACAAATGCTTTGGATCTTAGAGCGAGGGAGAAGAAACATCACATTAGGGTGTTTTTACTCAAGCGGCAACTGCTATCTAAAGATTTGGGTCTACAAAGAAATCTTTTTGAAGGTTTATTTACTCTCTTGACACTGAAGCAGTTGCATGGTTCTGTACAATTTTTATGCCGAGACTATGAACAATTCCCATTCAAGCTGAAAAGGTTGCGATTTTACAAGGTTTGCAATGTTTTTTTTTGTTTTGTCTGTGTTACAGGAAGACCCATCACTTCTCTCTCATCTGTTGGAGGCTCTGGACTCCGGGGCCCCTCCTCACGGTGGAATCGCATTAGGTGAGCAAGCATTCAACACATGCTACCTTGGACTTTCACAAGGTTGTTGGGGTACGACTGTGACGAAAGGCCTTGTTGATTGCATTCTCCTGTTGGTTAAAGTGGAACCGTCATGCTCAAAACCTGAAATTGCTTGTCCAGCCAGGAATTTTTTGGCAGCTTTGTTTCAGTTCGAGACTGTAAACGAAGGCATGAAGTGCCCTTGATCATTCGAGAACTTCTGTTTGGGTTTATTTCTGCGTGTTGCAGCTCTACAGCTGATTTTTACAGCTTGCATTAACTGTGATGTAGAAAATTAGCATGTTCTTGTTTACATGATAAAGATGAAGAAGTGTTAAATAGCTCTCTAACAACTGAGAGAAATGTGTTTAATTATCAGAAACATTCAATTCAAGTTTATTTGTATAGGCACTTTTCACAAGAATCTTTTTGATACACCAAAAATACAACAATATAATGATATACCTATCTATGCAGAAACTTGAATCAGTTTTATTTGTAAAAAATGAATTTATGCATCATTACATTATAATATATACATTACTGGTCAAAAGTATAGGGTCAGTTGGATTTTTAAATGTTTTAAAATAAGCTTATTCTGTTCACCAAGGCTGCATTTATTTCATCAAAAATGCAGAACAAATTGTGAAATGTTATTGCACTATAAAATAACTGTTCAAAAGTAGTTTATCAAATAATTTAATAATTTATTCCAGTGATTTTAAAGAAGAATTTTCAGCTTCATTATTCCCGTCTACAGAGTGACATGATCCTTCAGAAATCACTCTATTATTAATTAACATTATTGTTGTTATTATTATACTATTATTATTATTAATAATAGTTTAATAAATGAATGGCAATTTAATAAATGCTGCCTTGATGAACAGAACAAATTTCTTAAAAAAAAAAAAAACTGACTTTTGACATAACACACACACTGGAACAGCTTAGAAGCCTATTGTCCAGATACTTTTGGACCCTTAACAAGTGGAAGGCAAATTGAACATGAGAGTCTGCAGTTAAAGCACATTTTGTTTGTTATCTTTCATATCAATTCTGTTAGTGTATAGAGCCAAAATGTTAGAATATTTATGGACCGAAGTGTGTGTATGGGTGTGTGTGTGTGTGTATATATTTTATATATTATTAAAATATTTGTTTATTTATTTGTGGAGTTTAAAATGTCACAATTAAATATTATTTGTCATTTTAATGAAACATGAAAATTTTACTTGAAAATTCTCTTACTGATTACTCACCCTCAATTCATTCCAACCCCCTAAGACCTTCATTCATCTTTTATATAAAATTGAATATTAAATGTCCCTCTATAAAAATAGCAAGGTTACTGAAATTTCCAGAAAGATACCAAAACTATCATCAACCGTCTATGTGTCATCAGTCGTTCAACTGCAATTTTGTACAGCTACAAGAATACTTTTGTGCTCACAAAACACTAAATATCCGTAGGTGACTAAAGGTCTTAGGGGTCTGGAGCAACATGAGAGCAAGTAATAACAGAATTGTCATTTTTTGGGTGAAATTTCTCTTTAATGTAACATTTGACAATAAGAAATACCTAAGGTTTGACAGTAGGTATGAGCTATGTAATTTTCATTTGTTTAAGGACTCTTTTCACATTTCCATGTTTCTCAGTAGCGGAAGTCGTCATAGTTGGGTAAACTTGGGTAAATATAGCTGGGTAATTTTTTTTACAATACCATTTGCTGAAATAATAAAAGAAAAACTTTATGATGGTGTTCTCAAGACTTTCAGAAAAAGGAAAAAAATGTGTGAGACTGATAACGGTAGCAGACTGTCCTACCTATGGATGCTGCATTAGAAATGCCTAAATCAGTAAGCGGTAATTAGTTTTTTGTAATTTGATGCAAAGTTGATATATATTAACATAGGTTTTTTTTTTATATATTGTTATCAAAAACATTTAAGGATTTAAGATTATGAATAATGTTAAATGTGTCATAACAGTCAAAGAGTCCAGTTGTTGTTGTTTTTTAAATAATTTATTAATTTGTCATTCAGTTAATCAAACGTGACAATAAAGATATATAATATTACAAATAAATTCTTCAGATAGATTTTGATCTCCTGAACTTCCCATTCATCAACAAAAAAATCATGGTTTTAACAAAAATAGTAGCATAACTGTTTTCAGAAAAATCCTTTAACACTAAAGACTGGTGTAATGACTGCTGAAGATTTAGATTTGAGTTACGTTTTAAAATATGTTGATAAAGAAAAGCAATATTTAAAATAATAATTTTTTTAAACAAATAAATGTATGTATGTATATATATATATATATATATATATCCTTTTTTTGGGTGGTATTAATAACAAATAATGATATCATCATTAAATTAAATAACATTGAATTAATACATGTATTTATTTCTAACAGGGCTGGACCGACTGGTGTCCATCATTGTTGGAGCTCCCAGTATCAGAGATGTCATAGCTTTTCCGAAATCTTTCCGAGGTCACGACCTAATGAGTCAGGCTCCAGACTTTGTCTCTGAAAAAGATCTAAAGCCGTATCATATTTCTGTAGTCTGGCCTATCGCAGAGTGACCGAGCCAACTGGACAACTCAGCGTAAGCATTAAAAAATAGTTTAACATGCATACAGTGTTCGGTTTGCATGAGGATGCAAGACTGTTGATGATTTCCACCGGTGCGGTCGCCATCTGTGCCCACGCCTGGCAACAGTATTCAGAACAGAAACAGCAGGATCACTTCATGTCCAGAGAGATTTCAACACCATCATCTGCTGCTTACACAGATTAGTCATGTACTTTCTCAGCATATACACGATCTGTAATAAGTGTCTTCAACTGCCCGTATTTTCATTCGATTTGTTTCAGAGATCAGCAGTGAAATCCAGAGATGCTGGGTTGTGTGTGTTCCAGTAGGGGGCAAAGTTGTTCCACTGCATCTGTTTACTCTTCCTCCTCATTTTCCACATGCCCTGCGGTGTGAAGTCAGTCTGCACCATATTCTCATTTTTCCCCCCCTGTTCTTTTCCACCCCACCACCAGACACACCAAATAAAGCTACATTTCAGTTTTTCCTCAGCGATGCCTTATCTGTAAAAGCAGATGCTCATTTTTCATGCCCAGGTACAGCTACTCATTACAGCCAGGGTTGTTTTAAAGCAGACCTGCGCTTTTGGCCGCCAAGCTGTGAACACAGGTCTTTGTATATGACATGCTGTTTTTGCTTGTCTTCTTATGACTTTTCTAGAAGTACCCACTCATCACCTATTTACATGACCATGTTTACTTGAAAGTTCCTGCCTACATTCGGTAGGTGTTTCCATTAGTGCTGTAGAGACAACTGCAGGGCCGAAAGCTCAGATATTTGATAATTGAGCTCTTTGTCTATCGGACTATTTCTATTAGACTCTGATCAATGTTAATAGTTTATAAAAGCAAGCAATTTTTACATACTTTTTTGTTGTTGTTGTTGCTATTTATCATGAAAAAAATAACTTTCTGTGATTTACACAGTTTTTATGTTGTTCCAAACTCATTTGGTTTTATTTCTATCAAACACAAAAGGAGATTTGTTGTTTTTTGTTCTTTAGAATGATCTTCTTTTGGGTTTCCATATAAAAAAGGATAAGGTTAGTCATGCATCAGAATTTCTGAAAGAATACTTGTATAATAATGGATTAAATATATTTGGAGGGTTGAAATAATTGACAAAAACCATGACCTTTTATGTAGCACTTTTTTGTTTTTGGTGACACATCTTGACTGTCATGTCGGTTTTCTTCTGTTTAATAACATACTTGTCAGCAGTGTGCAATTTAGTGTGCTTGAAGGGATAGTTCACCCCCCATTTACTCATTATTTACTCACCCTTAAGTTGTTCCAAACCTTGATTAGTTTCATTTTTCTGCTGAACCTAAAAGAAGCAGCAAGCTAGAATCATTGATGCCCGTATTAGACTTCCATAGTAAAACAGATGCTATGGAAGTCAGTGGTTAAGGGTTTCCAGCTTTCATCAAAAGATCTTATTTTAGGTTCAGCAGAAGAAATAAACTCAAACAAGTTTTTTAGTTACTCAAAAAATTAGTAAATAATGACAGAATTTTTAATTTTGGGTGAACTACCCATTTAATATGATGCAATTTGTAATATTGGACTAAAATTGTAATATTAGCACTGTTAAAAAAATAAATCTAAAATAATTCAATTAAAAGAAATCTGATGCAACCTGAGCAGATCTAAATCTAATGCTGTAAAAGGGCACTTCATTAATTTTTACATTTATCTTTAATGGTGAAAGGCGCCATTTTTGCCCACTTTATTTATTTATTTTTATTTGGTGTAATTTTTTGTTAATTTAATTGTCAACAGTACACACACACACACACACACACACATATATATATATGTGTGTGTGTGTACAAATACAAAAACAAATTCAATTAATAAAGCCTTTAAAAATGTACCTTTTTAGTCTTAAGTCAAGTTCGGTTACATGTATATCACCTGAACTGTAACACTTTACAATAGGGTTTTATTAGTTAACATTAGATATTGCGTTAGAATTAACCATGTGCAACGCATCTATTTCACATCACTTAATCTTTGTTAATGTAGATTAAACATATTAATTTACCATGAACTGACCGTGAACAGTTACTTTGTCCAACATTACATAATGTTTGTTAATGGTAACTTGCTCATATTCTAATGCATCTCTTTACATTAACAGCTTAATCAGCTGATGCTTCAATCAGTCAGAGTCATTGTTCATTATTTGTTCACGTTAATTAATGCATGAACTAACCCAGTACTATAATGTATCTGTTCGATTACATTAACAACATTAACAACCAGATTAGATCATATCTAATCCATTAACAAATGCAGTACCATAGTGTAAGTAAACGTGAACTAATTAAGCTATTAATGCTGAATGAAGTCAGCCCAAGACCAGTTACTCACAGAAGCTAAGCAGGGCTGAGCCTGGTCAGTACCTGGATGGAAGACAGCATAGGGAAACTAGGTTGCTGTAGGAAGTGGTGTTAGAGAGGCCAGCAGGGAGTGCCCAACCTGTGGTCTGTGTGAGTCCTAATGCCCCAGTAAACGTGAAGGGGACACTACACTGTCAGTGGGCGCCATCTTTCGGATGAGACGTTAAACTGAGGTCCTGACTCTCTGTGGTCATTAAAAATCCCATGGCTCTTCTCATTAAGAGTAGGGGTGTAAACCCAGTGTCCTGGCCAAAGTCCCTCAATCGGCCCTTACAATCGTGGCCTACCAATCATCCCTATCCAACGAATTGGCTTTTCACTGTCGCTGTTGTCCTGTGGCTGCCGTCGTGCAGTGCCCCCCCCACCCCCACCCCCCATGATTGTGAAGCGCTTTGGGTGTATGGCCATACACAATAAATGCGCTATATAAAAACACATTACAACTGTATATTAGTAGTATTAAAGTATGATTTTATTCTCCAAATACTTATTCTTAGATTATTCCCTAATCCTACCCACACCTAAACCTAACTTATACCTTTCTAAAAATAAATAAGCAACTAATTAGTAGTTTATTGAGTTAATTGTCTTAGTTAATGCCTTGATGATAGTGTGAATTGTAACTTAAAATAAATAAATAAGTATTGCTTAACGGATGTGTTGTTCTAACGCATGAACTTACGTTAACCAATTCAACCTTATTGTAAAGTGTTATCACATAACTGTAACATAAGTTGATTGACTGCCTGTGTCTATTTTTCAAAACACTGCAGCTTTCATTAGCCATTTGATTTAGCTGTCTGAAATGAAATGATTTATAAATATCAAGTGCGATTAGACTGCTGTGCGTTTTAGTTCTTTGATGTTTAAATAACTTCTGCCCGATGTGTCAAAGCAAGCGTGATGTTTCTGATCTTTTAATGCAGATGCTACCTACCTGATCCGCGGGAAGAAAATCGCAGTTCTCAAGGAATACAATCTCAGGCGTCATTACTCCACTCAGCATGCGGTGCATCTGTGAGGAATGAGGTTTAGATGAGCTGCTCGACTCCGAAAAGGTCTAACCATTCACCATTAACCATATATAGTTAAAATCTATAGTTGTTAAAGCTCATTTTTTTGTGTCCACCATTGGAGAACACTACCTAGTTTAGCGTCTATACAGTCGGGTATTTTTGGGTACTGTCTAGTTGGAAAGCGCTTTTTCTGTTGTTGCCATCAGCATCCTCTGGGGTTCAAGCAGACATTTATTTATGCCCTGCTGTTTTGGCGGTCATCCTGAGAAATGCTGCAGAGAATTTCATGTCTTAAAAAAACCTGTCTGATCACTATCAACAGAATTGACGGGGTATCTCCGGTCACCTCCGTTCACATCTTTTTTCTGCGGCGTGATACCTCTACTTGTCTGTTTTGTCTCTAATTGGCCTACATAACCAAAAGTGGCACATGGTTTGTGGATGATGCGCACAGCAAAAGTCACACAAAGGACAAGGAAGATTTCCTCTGCTGTTTTGCAGTTTCATTGACGGGAAAGGTAATTATAATGTATTCCACCATGAGACACTTTTAGACCTCCTTAATTTGTTTCTTTGAAACTCTCCCTGTTTTGTAATCTCAAGGGACTACGTTCTGTGGAGAATAAACCGAGCGATTTGATGTGAAGACCCTTTAGGTAACTAGCAGACATGGTGGGGGGATAATGAGCTCACAGGCTTTATACCTTTTGTTTCGAATGGCTTTTAAAAAAATAAAAATAAAAAAGCACTCAGACTAAGGAAATAATTGGCTTGTTCTTGTTTCTGTTCATCAATAAAGCAATATAGGTTGGTAGGTTCACATAATTTATCTCTGCAAAAGCGTTACTTGCAAATCTCATTGGTGTTTCTGTTGGTGTTGTGAGTTGTTGTGTTTTGATTTGCATTTTAAGTGGAGTTGCGAATATACAACACAAAAGGTCAAACAATATGTATGTTTGAGTTAACATATAGGCAACGTGATACTGTTTCACTAACCAATCCTTATAGGATTTTGTCAAATTGATCAGTAAACATCTAGGACCATTTTTTTTAAACAAATTGATTTGGATAAAATTGGTCCAGATTTGGAAATCCCATGTTTTGCTATCCAGGATTAAGTGATCTCAAGCTGCCTTTCCACTACACATGACAAACGACAAGTGATAGACCGGAAGTCATTTATTTCCAATGGACAATAGTCCAGGGGCTGCGTGAAGTTTAGATCCGATATGAGCTACGGATTTGGGCCGGATTAAGAACACATATAGGGACTATAGCAAATCCAAGAGCCCCCTTTTATTTTTTATTACCTCACAAAAGTATGTATATATATGTTGTTTTTGTTGTTGTTATTATTGTTATTATTAATAATTTACTAATTCATATTATTATCTATTTTTCCACCATTTGATTTATATTTGATTATTATTTATTTTTTCTATTTTTGTTCAAACAGGCTGCAAAAAAAAAAAAAAAATGTTTAATACTTCCTAAATTAGTGCTTTATAATAAATACTTTAAATAGTGGTTTACCTTTAAAAAGGTTCTTTAGAACTTTAGCTGACCAAAAACTAAAAAACCCTAATGATATTACTTATTTTATTAATTTATTTATATTTTAGCATCAGATATATTGTCTAATGAAAGCCAGTGCCAATATTTTTATTGCTCCATAATATTATTAATGTCGTTTTCATGAAAGGGGCAAAGTTAACATGTTAACAGTTTGCATGTTCTGCCATGATTGCGTGGGTTTCCACCGGGTGCTCCTGTTTCCCCCACAGTCCAAAGACATGCGGCATGGTGAACTGAATTAGCTAAATTGGCCGTAGTGTATGTGTGAATGCAAGAGTGTATGGTTGTGTCCCAGTGTTGGGTTGCTGCTGAAAGGGCATTCGCTGCGTAAAAACTTGCAGGAAGAGTGGCGACCCCTGATTCATAAAGGGACTAAGCCGAAAAGAAAATAAACAAATGAATGAGTATACTTTGATGACAGTTTTTTAAAGGAACTTTGGGTTTTTTCACTGTGATCCAATTACCAAATTTTAGGATTACCAAATCCTGTTTACCAGAACCAACAGTGTAACCTACTGGCTTAGCAAAGAACAACAGGTAGGCAAAATACCAGTGGCCACAAACAGCCTTTTTTGTTTTAATGGCAAGAAACAGAAACACTGTATTAAACATTTTACATTTTTAGTTTGTTCTAATACAATACTGCTTTGATATCGTTTTGTTGTTGTTTACCATATCTCATTAGATATGACCTGCTTCACAGGGTGTCCGTGGGGTCTTAAATAATTTTTATTTACATCCAATCCGCTATCCGATATACATTCAATCGCCAACAATCCATCTTAATTAAATCAGGGAAAGAAATCTTAAAACAATTACACAGTTCCTCGTGATAATAACAGAACACATTATGGTTATACTTTGTTATCT